GCTGCTAGCTTTTAGCTAGTGTGTCTGTATTGTGCGCTGCTAGCTTTTAGCTAGTGTGTCTGTAATGTGAGCTGCTAGCTTTTAGCTAGTGCATTTGTATTGTGAGCTGCTAGCTTTTAGCTAGTGTGTCTGTATTGTGCGCTGCTAACTTTTAGCTAGTGTGTCTGTATTGTGAGCTGCTAGCTTTTAGCTAGTGCATCTGTATTGTGAGCTGCTAGCTTTTAGCTAGTGTCTGTATTGTGAGCTGCTAGCTTTTAGCTAGTGCATCTGTAATGTGAGCTGCTAGCTTTTAGCTAGCTCATCTGTATTGTGAGCTGCTAGCTTTTAGCTAGTGCATCTGTAATGTGAGCTGCTAGCTTTTAGCTAGTGCATCTGTAATGTGAGCTGCTAGCTTTTAGCTAGTGTGTCTGTATTGTGAGCTGCTAGCTTTTAGCTAGTGCGTCTGTATTGTGAGCTGCTAGCTTTTAGCTAGTGCATCTGTAATGTGAGCTGCTAGCTTTTAGCTAGCTCATCTGTATTGTGAGCTGCTAGCTTTTAGCTAGTGCATCTGTAATGTGAGCTGCTAGCTTTTAGCTAGTGCATCTGTAATGTGAGCTGCTAGCTTTTAGCTAGTGTGTCTGTATTGTGCTCTGCTAGCTTTTAGCTAGTGCGTCTGTATTGTGCGCTGCTAGCTTTTAGCTAGTGTGTCTGTATTGTGAGCTGCTAGCTTTTAGCTAGTGTGTCTGTATTGTGAGCTGCTAGCTTTTAGCTAGTGTGTCTGTATTGTGCTCTGCTAGCTTTTAGCTAGTGCGTCTGTATTGTGCGCTGCTAGCTTTTAGCTAGTGCATCTGTAATGTGAGCTGCTAGCTTTTAGCTAGTGCGTCTGTATTGTGCGCTGCTAGCTTAGTGCTATGTCAGTGCCAGCAGTTGTGGACATGGGGGTGGAGGGGGGACGACAGTCTGGTTCGGTAGGCAGGGCGCTCGGTTCTGTTGACAGCGCGGGGCGCTCTGCGTGTGTAGTGGCAGGGAAGCACTGAAGATCTGTATTACGATGTCAACCTGTCCGTCTTGTAAACTTTCTCTTGTTGAAGCCATAACGTTTGATCCACTCAAGATCATTTAATGGTACTTGATGCACACACGCATCATCACTAAGACAGAGTCACGTACACTTGTCAACACCCCAGCTTCAAGGTCAAGGTAGCAAATCAAGGTCAAGGGTTTTACCATGTCTTTGCTTTTCCAGGCCACCGCTGCAGGTTACCGTATAATAGTTTGTCGACGGGCGTATAACGTGCCGTATGCGGTACTTTTGTTGTATGTCACGCCTCTTCAGTACCGGTCCACGTCTTTGATGTATTTCCTGTCCGCACCTGTTAACTTTCCTTTGACCCTTTAAATCTCAGCTCCAGCTTTTCAAACGGCTTTATTTCCATGTTTCACGTCTATGCCACTTCGTGCTGAGCTCACATCTGTCCGCTCGTCTTCACACCTGGATTCTAAACGTTCTCGTCTGTCTCCATCGGTCCGCTGTTGTTTTCCACCTGCATTCATATTTTTGCACCTTTTCTCTTCTTACGTACATTTATTTACGTTTGAACTCTTTAATCACTGTTTCATGATCATTCCTGCTCCACACGTTAGAAATCATTTCTTCTTGTTTTGTTGCTACCTTTACCAGGATATTAATTCTTGGCTTTAATACGATTAAATTATTTGACTTAATTGATCTATGTCGCACCTGCTGACGTTGTGTTCTCCCCCACCTGAACGTTTCTCACCTGTCGCAGCTCCGTCGCAGCGCTGACGGAGTGCATGAGGAATAAATCCCTGGCCAAGTTTTTCCGTGACCGTCAGGGGTCTTTGAAGCGCTCCCTTCCTCTGGGTTCATACCTGCTGAAACCCGTTCAGAGGATCCTTAAATACCACCTGCTGCTCCAGGTACCTCACCTTTATACCTCACCTCTGTTGGTCACAAGTTACATTTAACCGTTAAATTCCTTATGATTAGGGAAATCCATGACTTTTAGAGATCAGGCTGTTTTCTCATGTGCGGTTCTGACTCCGTTAGAATCACAATATTTTTAATTCCAGGACGTCGTTCAGGTTTTTATAGATTTATTTATTTAAAAAACTTTATTCATATGTGAACTCCCGTATTTATTTTTGATTTGGAGTAAAAACAAGAAGTTAAATTTCCTGGGTGCTACAGATGTTTCTGTGTTTGATTATTTTTCCTTTCTTGAGATGAAAAGTAATGAGGTTTGTGTTCTGCGTGTTCTGACTTCAGCAAACAGAACTCGGTCATCTGCATAAAACAAATATTTGGCTTCCTACTGAATAAACTGGATTGTTGTCCTTTGTGGTGCCGTTTCTCAGGAGATTGCGAAGCACTTTGACCCTGAGGAGGAGGGTTACGAGGTGGTGGAGGAGGCCATCTACACCATGACGGGCGTGGCCTGGTACATCAACGACATGAAGAGGAAACACGAGCATGCCGTGCGCCTGCAGGTCGCTAACAGCGCGCTACGTCTTTGTTCTTCTAATGATTTAGGTTTTAAAACCTGCTCATTTTAAACTTTTACTGTTTTATACGCCCGCCGAAGGAGGGACGTACTGTTGTGTAGTCTCCATCCGTCCATAAACTTTCTCTTGTCCCGCCTAGAACTTCTTCTCCTCAAACACACGTGCACCATCAGCAGACAGTGTTCGCTCTTCACAAATCTACTTTAAATTGATTTACATTTAATTAATACTCAACAAAAAAATGTAAAAAAATAATCTTTAATGATTTAACGGACTGATGTCTTTATTTTTCATTCCAGATATTTCACCTGAAACAAAAGTTTTAGGTGAATGATGAAGTGAAACGGTTTAATTTAATGGATTTCTTATACTTGTTAATGGCTACACATTTAAAAAGATTTAATAAACATTTTATTGTTTGACTTGAAAGGTAAAATAATTGATCAAAGCTATTAAACTCAGGCATGAATCAAATTATCTTTGTTTTCTTTTGGCCCCGAGGGAGTAGAAACTAAAATGTTCCAATGTTTTGACGAGAGAAAGAAACTGCCTGTTTGTTATAATTAGATTAAAAATTGGATGGATGGATGGATGGATGGATGGATGGATGGATGGATGGATGGATGGATGGATGGATGGATGGATGGAAGGTTGGATGGACAGATGGATGGATGGATGGATAGATGAATGGACGGATGGATGGACAGATGGATGGATGGACAGATGGATGGACAGATGGATGGACGGATGAATGGATGGATGGACGGATGGATGGACAGATGGATGTATGGATGGATGGATGGATGGATGGACGGATGGATGGACAGATGGATGGACAGATGGATGGATGGACGGATGGATGGACAGATGGATGGATGGATGGACCAATGGATGGATGGATGGATGGATGGATGGATGGATGGATGGACAAATGGATGGATGGACCGATGGATGGATGGATGGATGGAAGGACAGATGGATGGACGGATGGACGGATGGATGGATGGATGGACGGATGGATGGAACCCAGCAGGCTGAATGTTCCTCTGTCTGCAGGAGATCCAGTCGTTGCTGCTGAACTGGAAAGGTCCGGACCTCACCACGTTCGGAGAACTGGTTCTGGAAGGGACCTTCAAAGTCCACCGGGCCAAAAATGAGAGGACGCTCTTCCTGTTCGACCGCATGCTGCTCGTCACCAAACGCAGAGGAGAACTCTACGTCTACAAGACGCACATCTATGTGAGGAGACAGAACCAGGTCCGGTCCGGTCCGCTGCTGGTGGGGCTCTAACCTTCCTCTGTTGGTTTGCAGAGCTCCACTCTGATGCTGATCGAGAGCGCCAAGGACTCCCTGAGCTTCAGCGTGACCCATTACAAGCACCCCAAACAGCCCCACACGGTCCAGGTGAGTCCAGCTGCACCGGTCCGACCTGAGCTGGTGCCACCGGTCCGACCTCAGCCGGTGCCACCGGTCCGACCTCAGCCCCTCCGCACCGGTCCAACCTGAGCTGGTGCCACCGGTCCGACCTCAGCCGGTCCGCACCGGTCCGACCTCAGCTGGAGGAGGAAACTTCAGCTGATTCGCTGTCGTTTCTCATTTTGTGTTTCAGGCGAAGACGATGGAAGAGAAGAAGCTCTGGGCTCATCACATCAAACGCATCATTCTGGAGAACCACCACGCCGTCATCCCACAGAAGGTTAGTGATCGCTGGTTCCACCGGTACCACTGGTACCACCAGAACCAACCAGTGACAGAAGCTGCTTGTCGTTTCAGGCTAAAGAAGCCATTCTGGAGATGGACTCCATCTGTGAGGACAGACCTTTCTGCTTTGTTCCTGTTGGTTGTTGTTGTTGTTGTTTATCTCTGGTTGTTTTCCTGCAGACCCCCCCAGGTACCGTTACAGTCCTGAGCGTCTGAAGAAACCCGTTTCAGACGAGTTTCCAAGAGACGCTCGTCACGGCCGCAGACAGTCGGGTAATCGCTCCCAGAAACCTGAATATTGATCGTTGTTCTTATCATCAATATTATTATTGTTGTTGTTGTTATTATTGTCAATAATGTTGTTGTTTTTGTTGTTGTTGCTGTTGTTCATGTTGATGATGATGATAATGTTGTTGTTGTTATTATTGTCTGTAATATTGTTATTATTATTGTTATTATTGTTGTTGCTGTTGTTGTTGTTGATGTTGGTCATGTTGTTGTTGTTGTTGTTGTTGTTGTTGTTGTTGTTGTTGTTGTTGCTGCTGCTGCTGCTGTTGTTGATGTTGGTCATGTTGATGATGATGATAATGTTGTTGTTGTTATTATTGTCTGTAATATTGTTATTATTATTGTTATTATTGTTGTTATTAATGTTGTTGTTGCTGTTAACCACTGGTGCACCTGGTCTTCATGTAGAACTGTTGTCTTTCTCCTACAGAACCAACCAAACAAGTGATGAAGAGCATCAAAGGTAAAGATCATCTTCATGCAGGGCAGGTTTTCAGCTCTAAGATGAATTATGATGTTTCAGAAACAAACGGTGACTTTACGAGGACTTCGGTGTTAAACTGTGACTCTCCTGGTTTACGCTCCTGAATGGTAAATGTTTTTTTTCCACTCACTGGTTCTTTTCACGCACGTCGGACTGAAGCTGTGAGGAAGACTAGCAGAAAGCTGCTGGATGAAGTCGGTTTATGACGTCTGTCAAACCATGAAGGAGCTGAAGATTATTGACAGCTTCTGTGAAAACAGTTTGAATCACTTTAATGAAGTGGGTTGAACAAGCTGAACTTCAGCTGTTGAAGTGAAAACGAGCAGAACAAAAGCCGAAACAAGCAAAACGGTGAAAAGCAAAAATTTATAGAACAGTAGCAAAAATTTAAATTAAGAAAATTTGTAGCAAGTAAGCTAAAAGTAATTAAACAGAAGCTAAAAGCAAAAACTAGCAAGGCAGTGGTTAAAAGGCAGAACTAGCTAAATTGTAGCTAAAAGCTAAAAGTAAAACACAACAGGAGCGTAAAGCTAAAATCAGCAAAACTGTAGTTTAAAGCTAAATTTAATAAAATTGTAGTTAAAAGCCAAAGTAAGCTAAATTGCAGCTAATTTCAAATCCAGAACTGTAGCTGAAAGCTAAAATCAGCAGCACCATAGGTAAAAAGTACAAGTGGCAAAACTAGAAGGTAAACAATAATAATTTTGCCGAAGCAGATTTAAAGAATGTTTTTGAAAGAAATAGAGAGATCTCAGTGTATTTCTATGGAAAGTTATACAAAAAAAGTTTAAATCAAAAAAATATATAAGTTACAGAATCCAAGTCATGGAAGTAGCTTCATTGCAAAAAAATGAAATAATAATAATAATTCCTGCACAAACTACAAACAAACATTATTTACTGTGAACGCTGACTCAGCATTCACAGTAAATAATGTTTCTCAGCTGATGGGGGTGGAGCTGAGCTCAGGAGGCGGGGCTTTTATAGGAGGTGTGGTCTAAGTAAAGATGGAATCTTTATATTTTAGAAGCTGACAAAGTAAATGTTTTGTGTTTGCGGTCTGATATTAACGTGCTGGTTTTGTTTGTTTTTTTCCAACCAATCGCCTCGGCTGCTGCTCTTCGGCTGCTGCTCTTCGGCTGCTGCAGCTGAACCTCTGCAGGTAAGGACCTGAGCTCACGCACTCGGTGACATGTCTTCAGTGATGCAGGAACAGACAGATGTAATGTGAGGCAGAACCAGGATGAGCCGTCTGTGACGTCCTGCAGCTCTCGGACAGCGAGGCCGTGGTGCCGGGCCAGTTGCCTCGGCAGCTCGCCGGCAGCAGCAGTACGCTGGGATCCAGCCTCCTGGGAGCGTCTGGGGCCGGCAGACTCCCCTGTGAGGAGGAGGAGGAGGGTCTCAGCACCAGGGGGGAACCCTTGGAGCAACTGATGTGCAGCGAAGAGGAGGAGGATGCGGGGAGCTTGGACGAGTTTCTGTTGGAGGAAGAGCAGGTAGAGGACTTTGCCAGCTCCATGCTGGCTGCCATCTCCTGCTGGCACTACACGGTCCAGGCCTTCCTTTCCTCCGCAGGGACGGTGAGGCTTTCTGCTGCCAGACGACCCCCCCCCACCCCCGTCCCACCTGCAGCAGCTCTGTAACACACTAAACGGATAACACCAGCCTCTCCGGAGCTCCCAGTAACTGCTGCTCGGGTTTTATGTGTGGCACTAACACCCGGCGGGGTCAGCCCTCTGAGCTCGGGCGATGATGTCATTAATGTCAGAGAAGGAGCGGTCAGTTATAATCAGATGTTTACACACACTCCTCATGGACATGAAGGTCCTGCTAAACCATATCCACATAACTGGAGTTCATTCAGACAAAGTTTTAGCACTTAAACGTGAATATTCTTTTAAAAACGAGCCTGAAAACTGGTTTATTTTCCGTTTTTGTTGTTTCCACAAACAGCAGGGACATTTGGACGATCATTCAAACGTCCATGTGAGTCGTCGTGGTCCTGATGAGGATCTTTGAGTTCTGACCTGCTGTCTAACAAAGTTAGGTCAGGTCCTCTGGACGGATTCAAAAGATTCAAAAAGTTAAAAAGAAAAACTTGTTGAAAAGTTTCGTCTTTAATCTAAAGGACTTCTTCAGTCTGAGGACCTGCAACAAACTCAGGCTTATAAATAGCACCTTCTCGTGGTGGATCAACCGATCGTTAGTGCCCTGATGGCCGCTTGCTATTCACAGGGGGCTGAGTGATTCTAGCAATAACAGCATGGTAAGAGGGGGACAGTTGGACACTGAGGCTCCGCCCCTGTTTAATGGTGGACGGCTTCTCTTCACAAAGATGGCCTCCTTCACTCTCAAACCAACGTTGTGGTTGACCTGGCCTGCTGGTTTGGTGTTGTTGGGGTCTCCACTCCTCCAGACAAATTGAACTCTGAGCGTCCTGAGATCAGCTGAAAAGTTCTGTCAGTCTTTTGAAGGTCGTGTTTTGACCAGCAGCTTTTGGTGTCCTGGTGTTTGTGGAACGCCCAGTTCAAAGCAGACCTGTCCCCGTTTGTTTTTCTCTCTGTTCTGGGAAATCTCTAATCTTCTTCACTTAAAAACAGTCATTCTAAGGAACTGTCAGTGGATCTGGTTACGTTTTTAGACTGTGCCTCTTTTTTATTCATAGCCAATATTAGAAAACTGAAAACAAATTTAACTCTAAGAAGTTTTTCTTTCATACACAAATGTATGCTTTTAGGGTCATTTTGTTCCAGAGAAATAAAGTTCAAAGGAGTTATTGAAACTCAAAATTTGCCGTGACTTCCTGTCCACGAGAAGAGCCTGTAAACATCTGACAGGAAGTGGAGATGCTCCTTGTGTCCTCGGCGTCTCCGGAGTCGGACTCTTTCAGGAGCGGTTAGCTTAGCACAAAGACTGGAAGTAGGAAAATACTGCCAGCGTAGCCATCTATAGATAGAGCTCAATAAAAAACACCTTCATGTGGTTTTATTTTCAGACGTTGCAAATCTTAAGAGAGTGTTGGTGTTAAGTTACATTTAAGCTGATGAGAGAGAAATCAAAGCAGAACTCCTGAACAGTTGTTATGGATGCAGGAGTGGGCCGTTATAGTTACAAATCTACTGGACATGGGGTTATTAAAAGTGATACAAAGGCCTGGAGTTCCACAAGGTTCAGTCCTTGGTACACTGTAGTTTGTTTGTAAATGCTTTCTTTTAAATGATGAAAATGAGAACGATTACTGGTAGATTACAAATCTGTTACATTAATAAGTTTAAATTACAGTAAAGTTATCTGGACTCGGAGTTCTTAAAATCTCTGAAGCAGACCTCGGAGTCTCTCTGACTTCATAGATCATTACTGGAACTGACTGGAGTACTTTCTCACACTTCTTTAGCTCATTAAGTTAGAACCTTTATGAAGATAATCCTGTTTCTACAAAGTTATTTAGTTTCATATCTGCTTCCAGCCCTTGAGGAAAATGCTCAGCTCCTGCCTGAACGTCTCTGGACACAAAGAAATAAAACGAGAGCATCCCAAGACCTGTTCCTCTAATATCTTTAATAATCAGTTTAAATGGAGCTTTTATGACTTGTGTCATAAAAGCGTGCTTCAGCTTTGATCTGACTTTAGTGCTGCTGCGCCACAAACAAAATGGAGTTTACAGGTTGTTTGACTGAACCAAATGTTTGACGATGTCTTTATTTGTGTTTGTTTTTTTTTTATTTATTTTTTGTTGCTTTTTGAAATCTGCAAAGATTCTATTAGAGACTGAGCTCTTATATGCTGTCTTTGGTTTGTTTGTAAAATAAATAAAATAAAAGGGCCATTTCATGCAAATGAACATTTGTTTTAACTTGTTTTACGAAAGTTGGAACAAAATCTTTGCTACTGGCTGAGAATGGGTGACTTTGTCCCATTTAGATGTTTTTTTATTTGAAGCTTCTTAAACAGAAGGTTTTTATTCTTCACATAACTCTGAATACTCAGGACTTGGATTTTTAGAATGTGTTTTGTGTAAAATGGCCTTTTAAAGTTAACATTTATCCCTGTGTGTGTTTCTGTTGTTACTGTTAGACATGAGCCCCTGCATTTGGTGCGTTGTAATGAAGACATTCTCTAACATTTTGTTCTGCTTCATCTTTACTGAAGGAGACAGAAAAAGGTGGAATCTCCTCAAGCAGAGAAAATGGACAACTTTGTGAAAGAAATGGAACTGAAGCAACACCTGAGCAGGTAAACGACGACTCTGTGGACAAATCACAGGCTTGACATTAATATTATGTTTGTTCACAGCTGCTCCGAGTCACAAACAGTTTCCAGTCATATAATTATAAAAAAGTAAACTTGTGCCTGGAGGCGTTTTTATTTATTTTTAACTGGAGATTTGCTCCAGGACTCTGACTGCAGGGTGTCCATGTCCTGTGGCAGCAAAACAAGCCCAAACCATCAGCCCTCCGCCTCTGTGCTGCTGTTTGTGATGATATTCTACATTTGGTTTCCCCCAAATATCCACTGGAGGAAACGTCTCCACTTTGGTTTTTGTTGAGGTGAATGAACATTGGTGAGGAAATCTAAACGTCTCCATTTGCTCGCGTGAGTTGCAGAGACTCGCGGTGTTGCTGCTTGAATTTTGAAATAGTTTGAAAAACCACGCTGCTGGTAATTTATTCTGATGAACTGGTTTAAATCTGCCCGTCTTCACTTCAACGTGAGCTCCAATCATAAATGCTGAGGCAGCTGCTGAAGTGATGGTGACCCAGCGTGGATCGTTTCAGGGAGACGGAGGCAGTAAAATAATGTTCACGGCCTTGAATACAGCTCTGCAAGCTGCACACACAAACTGCCCATATTTTATTTAAAATCTGAACTCAGTGGAGCTGCAACTGAAAGTTGATCTGTTTTCATGAGTCACTGTCGTCTCCAGCACCTGCAGTCGAGCGAGATCCAGCCCCAAAGAAGTGACTTGTGTTTTTACACGTTCAGTGTTTGTAAAGAAACAACTTGGAGGAATATGTCGTTATTCACACAGCTTTTAATGTTGCTTTTTAAAAATATGCCATCTAAGAAGGACTAGAAACTCTGTGAGATCCTGATGACGTCCAGAGATGAAGAACTGCTGAAGGAACGAGGTTTAGACCAGAGAGAAGAGATAAAACTGAGCAGGAAGAAGTTTTTAGGAGTTTGAATGATCTGCTGACGGCACCAATGATCTGTTCTGATGTCTTACAGGAAACTGTGGAAAAACGACCACAAGAGAACACATCAGAAAAGACAACGGACCCTGAACCAGAACTGTCCTCTGCTGTGGGTGCTTCTATCGTCTCCGGGTCGGCTCAGAAGTCAGAAGAGCTGAAGCCTGAGGAAGCTCCAGAGCTGACAGAAGAGCCCTCTTTAGCCACGACAGACTCGGACTCAAAGACCTTGAGCAGCGCAGAGTCCTCCGAGGACGAGAGGGACACGACAGAGGAGTCTCTGAGCATACTCCCGTCCTCTGTCCTGGACAAGGCCAGCGACATCGCTCGCCACTTCAACAGCATCAAGAGAAGCAGCGTGGCTCCGGACGACGCTCGCTCCATCAGCTGCTCGTCACCACGGTTACCCAGCAGGACCGGCAGCATCCTCAGCCTCAGCACCGAGGCAGCAGACTGGCCTCTGAGGTCTTCAGAACCTGCAGAGACCTTCAGTGAGACAGACTTCGTCCTGCCGCCTCCTCGGGACGACGGCGCCTTTGATCCGGACCGAAGCATTCGGCGAAGGCGGGACTCCACTCTGTCCAAGCAGGACCAGCTTCTCATCGGCAAAATCAAGACCTACTATGAGAACGCTGGCACTCAGGACGCCGCCTTCAGCGTTCTGCGCAGGGAGAGTCTGACCTACATCCCGACGGGCCTGGTCAGGAGCTCAGTGAGCCGGCTCAACAGCATCCCAAGAGACAAAGGTGTCCCAACGAACGTGTCCGCTTCAACCACGTCTTCATGTCTGGATCCTCCCTCAGCAGATCCTGCTCCACCTTCAGACACGCACACGTTCACGGTTTCTAGTCTCTCTGTGGACTCTTTGAAGTCGGATCAGTTCACCTCAGATTCTGGGGACCAGCAGAGGTCCACGTCTCAAAGCCTGCACCATGATCTGTTTGAGGATGAAGAGTTCAGACCTTCATCTGAAATGATTAAGGTCTGGCAGGAAATGGAGCAGCAGATTGATGATCAGTCCAGGGAGGATTCAAAAGCCTTCAGAGCAGGCAGCGTTTTCACCCCGACCAAGAGTTCTGACCCGGAGAGTGGAGCTTCTGACCTCAGCACCATCACAGAGGACTCCACAAGTCCCTCACCTCCTAAAGCCAAAGCCCCGGGCTTCAGCCGGACAGGAAGCGTGAAGAACGCCCTGAGGTGTTTCAGCAAAGAGACGGATGTTCTCAAAGCCACGGTTCCCCGGGTGGCCCAGCTGAGGGTGGAGGCAGAGGACGAAAGACCCGGAGAGAACCCAAAACACACGGATGACGTAGACAAGGGAAACAGCAAGGTCCTGTCTCTGGCCCGTCGATACAGTCAGCTGATTAAAACCACCAAAGCCACGGTCCAGCAGCGAAGCACGACCGCGCCTTCTGGCAGGAAGAACTTGTCCTGCGTGGAGGAGGAGAAGGAGAGCTCAGGTGGGTCACATCATTTAACAACTTGTTCTGTGAAGTCAAACCTGAAGACACTTTTGTTCTGGATAAAATGCCACGAACACGTTGGCAGTTTGATGAAACCTTCTGTTAACGTGAGGGCATCAAGAAGTCACTGAAATATAACAAATCTAGTTTACTGGTCTGATCCAGAGTCCTGCCTTCAGCCAACATTCAAAATGACTCATTTCTTCTTGAACGTGGTCCAACCTGCTCACACTCAACTATTTCAGTAACTACAGCCACTCAGAACAGAGTCCACGCTCTGAGAAAGGTGGGGTACCGAGTCCAATGTAAACGCATCTCAATGAGCTGCTCATCTAACAAACATGTTTTATTCCCAGTGGAACATAGTTAACACATCTGGATTCATATCCTGATGCTGCTCAATAATCCAGGTAGGAACATCTGTGAACAGCAAGCGGGCGTCAGGGCACTAACGATCGGTCGTTAGGCTGATGGTCCTCCATCATGTGAGCAGCTGGTTCTGGACGTCAACGTCCAACTGGCTGATCCACTATGAGAAGGTGCCCTTTATAAGACTGAGCTTGTTGCAGCTCCTCAGACTGAAGAAGTCCTTTAGATAAAAGAGGAAATGTTTCAAGAAGATGAATCCGTCCAGAGGACCTGGCTCAACATTTTTGAAATCAGGATTCACTTTTTTCCATCTTTATCATCGTGTTTTAGAATCTGATTATAAAGCGTGATGGGCCAAGAAAGAAAACACGACTAATGAGCGTGGAGTTATGATTCAACTAATGTTCTGATCCGTGTTTTGCAGGTAAATCCAAGCTGACCTTGCCGCTGGTTTCTAACAGCCAGGCTGCTTCTCTGCCTTTAAGCCCGGCAGACCGGTCTCCAGCCGGCGGCGTCTCTCCAGGCCGGGCTCATTCTCGAAGCCCCCTCAGCCCCCCTCCTCCCGTCGAAGGCTTTAACTGGCCCGACGTTCGTGAGCTTCGGTCCAGGTACTCCGACAGCGGCCGCCCTCAGAAGCACCCGGTGAGCAGGAGTCGCTCCATCCCAGAGAAGATGTTCGAAGGCGGTCAGAGGAGGCATTCCAGCGGCTCCAGCCTCCTCGCCGATGACGCCTCCAGCGGGAGTTCACACAAACCTCGAAGGAGCCGAAAAGCAGGCCAGGAGGAACGCAGCAAACGGCTCCACAGAGCCAACTCTCTAGAGCCTCGGCTGAGCGGGCCACAGATGACCGAGCTGCAGAGGCTCCAGGACCAGGCCGGCCACGACCATTACTACATCACAGCTGAGGCGCCGCTATCAGATGACCCCGAGCACAAGGTCATCGTCATGGAGAAGCTACCAGAACCAGAAAACCCAGCCCAAGCACCGAAGGAGGAAGACGACGACGGCTACGTCCAGATCCGTTCTCCAACCAGCAGGGAGAAGATCTCCATCTTGGCCGTCATCGACCGCTGCCGGGCCTACCAGGAGTCCGACGAGTACAAACAAAGGGAGGAGGCCAAAGCCGAGCCTGCGAAAACTGCAGCGGCCTCCACCGAGCAGGACGAGAGTCCGAAGACCAGATCGAACTCGGGACAGAAGCCGGAGAGCAGCCAGGGGAGCATGGTGAAAAATCTGAGGGAGAAGTTCCAGAGCCAAAGCTAAAACAAACGGCGGCATCTTTAATTATAGAATAAAACCACCAGGGACCGACCAAAGGTCCAAACGCACGTTCGATAGAAAAGTTCGAGTTCGGACCAAATACAAAAACAAACACTGAGACGTAAAAAGACAAATAAGTCAAATAAATTGCTGCTGCTGCACAAATATTTAAACATTAATCATCTTGAGGTGGATTAAAGAAAACTAAAACATCAGTTTCACGGAAACACCAAAGGTCCGTCTGGAGGACCAACGGGTGCTCGTGTGCCCCAAAGCCGTTCATGTTGTGGTAACGGAGCGGACTGACATCATAATTACCGTAATTTCCGAACTATAAGCCGCCACTTTTCCACAGGCGTTGAACCCTGCGGCTATACGGTGCTGCGGTTAATTTATGGAAAACTAACGAGCTGCCGCCAAAACATTTCGCCTCGTCCTGCAGGTTCTCACACAGCTGCGCAACAAACGTCTCTTATGGGGGTCGGTCCTCGTGACTCACTGAGAACACCTGAATAAATAAAGGTTAAAAAAAAGCGCAGGTGAAAGGTGGATAGAGTGATCAATGACTTCCTGAAATATGTAACCAGTACATATTTAATTATAAGTTTGAAAAATATTTCTTTGTAAATATCTCACGTTACAACATGGACACCCTCGGCTTATAGACGAGCGCGGCCTACATATGTACAGAATTATTATCATGTTATTATTTTAGTGGGTGTGGCTTAAATTCGGGTTTGCTCAATAGTCCGGAAATTACGGTATGTTAATTTAAACGTTATTAAAAAAGGTCAACGCTCTTTAACTTCTAATGTTTTAGGTCATAAACTTTGTTTCACCAGGTTTTAAAATGATTCAAATCCTCAAAAAGAATCAAAAGCGGTTTTCATCTTGGATCATGTAAACAAAGAAAACGGTTTAATTTTAATTTTTTGGCTGAAAGTTTTATTGGCTCCTCGTACGAAAGTCTTAAATAATATACCTGATTATTTTAACATGTGATGTGTAAAGTTGCTGCTGAACCTTTAGTTTGTAAAAAAATAAAATCTTTGGGGGTTTCATTTGAGCAAAACCAAATAATTTTAGACTGAAAATTACAGGAAATAATTATAAAAATTAGTAAATTAATAAAATGTTATTTACCCAAAGCAGACATTTTTATCTGTAAAAGTAAATTTATGAGCTTCTTTTTGTTATTAATTTATCATTTGAAATTAATATATGTATTAACGTTGTGCCTTTTTGTGATTTTTATTGTTTATTATTGTTGTGATAAGGAACACTTTGTGCCCACGAGCTTCATTTGGGCTTGTTTTGCTCAGAGGCACGTGGGCAGCTTTGATCATGTGACTTCATCTGACCCTTGGTCCACGTGCACATCCTCTTCCTCACTCAGTCCACCACTGTAACCGTCTCATGTAAATATGTGTGTGTGTGTGTGTGTGTGTGTGTGTGTGTGTGTGTGTGTGTGACGTCCTCAGAAAACATGTCATTTCTCATAAACCCAAAAACTATAAAGATTATATTTGTGTATATTTGTGTGTCGATGCCAACAACATGAGTCACAACAAGAACCAGTAAACAAGTAAACAAAAACAGATTGTTGTTTGTTTGTTTTTTTTAGCACAAAACTAAACTGCTACAATACCTGAACACTAGCTCTAAAGAGCAAAACACTAGCTGAATAGGCAGAACTTAAGATTAAAGCTAATCACAGCAGAACACTAGATGAAGCACAAAATTAGTCCCCCCTCCCCTAACACCCCCCCCCAAAAAAAGCAGAACTCCAGCTATAAGAAGTAAAACACTACTTTTTATAGCTGACACTGAAAACTAAAAGAAGCAGAACACAAAGAAACACAACACTAGCAAAAAGAAGCAGAACACTAGCTAAAAGAAGCAAAACACTAGCTAAAAGAAGCAAAACGCTAGCTAAAAGAAGCATAACGCTAGCTAAAAGAAGCAGAACACAAAGAAACACAACACTAGCAAAAAGAAGCAGAACACTAGCTAAAAGAAGCAAAACACTAGCTAAAAGAAGCATAACGCTAGCTAAAAGAAGCAGAACACTAGCTAAAAGAAGCAAAACACTAGCTAAAAGAAGCAGAACACTAGCTAAAAGAAGCAGAACACAAAGAAACAGAACACTAGCAAAAAGAAGCAGAACACTAGCTAAAAGAAGCATAACGCTAACTAAAAGAAGCAGAACACTAGCTAAAAGAAGCATAACGCTAGCTAAACGAAGCAGAACACTAGCTAAAAGAAGCATAACGCTAGCTAAAAGAAGCAGAACACTAGCTAAAAAAAGCATAACGCTAGCTAAAAAAGCATAACGCTAGCTAAAAGAAGCAGAACACTAGCAAAAAGAAGCAGAACACTAGCTAAAAGAAGCAGACACTAGCTAAAAGAAGCAGAACACTAGCAAAAAGAATCAGAACACTAGCTAAAAGAAGCAAAACACTAGCTAAAAGAAGCAAAACACTAGCTAAAAGAAGCAGAACACAAAGAAACAGAACACTAGCAAAAAGAAGCAGAACACTAGCTAAAAGAAGCATAACGCTAACTAAAAGAAGCAGAACACTAGCTAAAAGAAGCATAACGCTAGCTAAAAGAAGCAGAACACTAGCTAAAAGAAGCAGAACGCTAGCTAAAAAAAGCAGAACGCTAGCTAAAAAAAGCATAACGCTAGCTAAAAGAAGCAGAACACTAGCAAAAAGAATCAGAACACTAGCTAAAAGAAGCAGACACTAGCTAAAAGAAGCAGAACACTAGCAAAAAAAATCAGAACACTAGCTAAAAGAAGCAGAACACTAGCAAAAAGAATCAGAACACTAGCTAAAAGAAGCAGAACACTAGCTAAAAGAAACATAACGCTAGCTAAAAGAAGCAGAACACTAGCAAAAAGAATCAGAACACTAGCTAAAAGAAGCAAAACGCTAGCTAAAAGAAGCAAAACACTAGCTAAAAGAAGCAGAACACTAGCTAAAAGAAGCATAACGCTAGCTAAAAGAAGCAAAACAC